CACTCCACTCCACTCCACTCCACTCCACTCCACTCCACTCCACTCCACTCCACTCCACTCCACCTCACTCCACTCCACTCCACTCCACTCCACTCCACTCCACTTCACTCAACTTCACTCACTCACTCACTCACGCACTCACGCACTCACTCACTCACTCACTCACTCACACTCGCACTCATACTCACACTCACACTCACACTCTCACTCTCACTCTCACTCTCACTCTCACTCTCACTCTCACTCTCACTTTCACTCTCACACTCTCACCCTCACTCACACTCTCACTCTCACTCTCTCACTCTCACTCTCACCCTCACTCTCACTCTCACTCTCACTCTCACTCTCATCTCACTCGCTCTTACTCTCACTCTCGCACCCCCACTCTCACTCTCACTCTCTGACTCCTCCCTCCCTCGCTCATTCACTCTCTCACTCTCTCACTCCCTCCCTCCCTCGCTCGCTCGCTCGCTCCCTCACTCTTTCACTCACTCAATCACTCACTCACCCACACACTCACTCCCTCCCTCCCTCCCTCACTCACTCAATGAAAAACTATGCATCTTAGACATTTTAAACTATATTTTCACAAGGTCAGTTTTTCTTTTACAGAAGAGAAGAGGTTCGTTAAACATAAATTTGCCAATCAATGCATTTTCATGCAGACATGTACTTTGGCACACAGGTCTTTTTTGTGTAGATGTCGGATGATGTCGGTAATTTGATCGAACAACCAGGTCAATTGAAGGTGCCAGAGGTCCACCTGCGCGTCCTGCAAATCCAATTTCAAGGCCGCCATGACGGGCCCGATTGGAAGATAACACCTTCTCATTGGTAGCATGGTTGAATCCACTACCTACGTCTTTCGTCGGAAACATTATATAATAGGATAATTTGTGTTTGGAGTCGCACCATCAAAGTGCAAGCAATCAAATAAAATTATAGTTTGGCATTGATTGATATTTGTGAAGCTGTCAAACCATGTCTTCCATAGTGTGCCATAGGTGCATAATAGCGCAGTGAGAAAACAAACCAAACAACACCAAACCGTTGTGGCTTGCAAGGTGGTTTGGATGAAAATCAACTACTGCAGTTTCTTGACAAGACGGACCTAAGGCCCAGACGGTGTCCTCCGCTTGATTTTTTTCAATGAATTTGGCATTGGAGGGCCAACTCGGGGAGGGGTAGGCCGTTAGTACTAGTAACTAAGTAGCGCTACAAGTAGCCTAAATAACTACTATATACTGTAGTATCTTGGAATTTTGGAAGCACGGGGACTCAACGTTATGGAACATCGTCCATGGTTATGCCTTCCCTGCTGCATTTGGAAGCTGAGTTACAACTTTCCAGCTCTTCCATACAAGTGATCAAAGATTATCAGACTAGTTCAGACGATAGTGGAGACCATACACTGACACGACCGCCAGACCCAGCTTCTTTGCCGCCAAGCAAAGCATTCCTGACCATTTCCTGGCTGCACTGCGAAGCAGGTCCATCAAGTTGCTTTGTGGCATGGTGTTTGCTGTCAATCTTTGAGTTGCCCACTGTGTCCCGATTTAGAGATACTGTAATTATCAATCAACCTCCATTAACTTTCTCGCATTCTGCAACCTCCTTGTAGACGCACGTTTTTAAGCGATCGTGAAGTTGATGAGATGCAGACTGTGACTGAAGAAAGATATACAATGTGGTGTGACCAAGTCCTGCAGGGAGGAACATGCCAATGCCGAGATATGCAGTGCTTGAGATTTGTGAATTGTCAATCTGGGTGTTTGTCAATCGAACAGGCGCATCTCCATGAGTCCATGTCATGCGGTTGTGGAGCGTCTCCTGCCATCGTTGTGGTAAGGCCTTGGTACTGCCAAGACACCTCATCGCCCACCTTGTCTGAGCGCGCAGTGCTTTATGAGCTCCTAAGCGCTGACTAGCGAGCTCCAAGCAATACTTGGGTTGAATGCGGAGAATCACAAGTTTGGAATGGAGCTGAAGTGCTGACCTAGAACCAGGAGAGCATGGTGTATTAGTGCATGCAGACGCATTGAAGGGTCTATGGATTGGGTACGGTATCACACCATATCACACCATAAAGATCTGCAGCGCAAGTAGAGACCTAGACGAATATGTTTTTCTGCCAAAGATTGCGCAGCATTTTGTGTTTGTGCAGTAAGCTATGCCGGCTATCCCTTTAATTCAAGAAACTCACGGAGGAAGACATATTGCAGACTCGAGGTGACAGTGTCATAGTCATAGTGGTTTTGGCTGCAGGGACTGTAACATACTGTAACGATGGCATCCGGTCAGGGCATTCCAGATGATGATGTCATTAGACACTATACATTGAAGTCGCAGAATGCGCGGTTTTGATTTTAAAAAGAGCGGCCACTCGAGCGACCGCAAGTGACCGCAAGCAATGCTACCGAACTAAAGTGAACAAATAAGCGAGTTTGAACCGCAAGGTTGGAGCCTCACGGCACCCTTGCAATAAGTGCCGCGAGGAAGCAACTTATCCCACGACCAACAGTCGCCAGAGTAGTTGGCCAAGATTTTGAACAAGCTTCCAGCGCGCGCATTGCACTCAAGTGACGCCAGCCCGTGCACCACAGATTGCCACCCAACCAACTCACTCCTGCAGACAAGCACACAGCGTTTTTCACACAGAGCAATGAACACCCCTCCAGCCCCTGTGGGGAATTATATATTGAAGATAGCTTTGTATTGCACATGGTTCAATCAAGTATTTCTTCGCTGTCAGATTGTAGTCTGGCAGTGGCTTTTGGGCAACATAAGTTGCGGGTTTGCTAGGCAAAAGTTTGTTAATTAACTTTCTTACGGCTACACTACGCTACATTGCATGCTGTCTGCTATGTAATGCTACCCGCAGGCCTCAATGTTTCGTCTTTGTGTTGAGGACCTTCGCGAGTTCGCGCTTTGAAACCGCAGCGGGTGAGCGGCTGGCCCAAGACTTCCTCTGGCCTTGAGTTGAGATGTTGAGCAGGAGAGGTTCGTTGTTGTAAAATGGTTTACCAGAGCGTTCCCTTCCCTGGCTGCAGCAGATTCCCGCTTGTGCCGACAGTCCAGGATGGCTTGTCATTCAGCAGAAGTTCAAGCACTATGAGCGATTATTATTGCTGATTTGCCCTGCTAAATGCGAAGTTACATCCTATAGCTAGGGTGACAAAAGTCATGAGCGCAATCAGTTGTACATGTAAGACCGTGGCGGAGAAAGTTGCCGAGGACGTCCAGAGTTTCCAATTTGAAGGGTGCACTTGCACATAAACGCTCTTGTTCTGAGAGTATGTTTTGCTCTTGGCAACCCTAGAACGCTGGGAGGCCATTGCAATTCAATTTCAAGTGCATATTCTCGCCAGCTTAGCTCATCAAGCAGTCCGATGAAGCAGGCTGAAAAACCTTAGATATTGTCAGCATTCATCAAGTCTGCGTACGGTATATATCCCAGACAGTCAAGAGCTGAGCTCTGACAAACGCCTCTTATTCAATTCAAATCTTCCAGGAGTTTTGAGCGTTGCAGTCCACTGGATTGGTTTAGTCATGTCAATCAACAGAACAACAAAGAGATGCAAAGAATACAGTTTGTCCAGAATGTTTTTTGGGCAAAGGCCGCGAAACAACCTTCAATGCACGTGACTTGGCACAAGCCCATATTGACAAGATACAATGTAGCTTGAGCCCCATTCCATCGTTAAAGAAAACTATGGTTGCCATGGGCAGCAGAGGTCGCCCGTGCAGCATGTACCGTAGATGATTTGCACAGGAGAGTGAGATGATTGCAGCAGTTTACTTACTGTCGCTTGTCGAATTACTTTCTCGCATGTCGGGTCAAAACTGGTATAACTACCACACTTGTGTGATCTTGTGTGACACTCCCTTCCACTTGTGTAGGTGGACTACCTCGCTGGTTGTGTGGGCCTCGAGCACATGCCATGTTTTTAAATGGCAGACTCTGCACAAGAATAGTGGACCAATCAAAGATGGAGCTTTAGCAAGCTTGCTTACTTACTTACTTACTCACTCATTCTCGACAGACCAACAAAGCGTAGCTCCTGCACTGTAGCCCGTTCAAATCCAATGCAATTTGGCACATCTGATGTGGGGCGCTACTAGACTTTCATGTCGTGTCCTCGCCCCAGTCTTTTGCAACGCACTTTGCCCTGGCGCAAAACCGCTCGGGGCACGCCCGGGACACGCCACTTTCTGATACTTCTTCGTATTTGTAGCTTTTTCTATTTGGCTGAGGCCTTCGCAGCCTTGGTATGTAGTAGTTGGAGCTCTGCTGGCGACTTGTTTGGAAACGTCGCAAAGCCTTGAATTGCATCGAAGGATCTCGGATCTCAATGTAGTGCGATGTACCGTCAGTTGTTTCTGTTATTGTCAGTGCATGACAAGGCAAACAGTCCAGTGCAAGTTTTGTTTACATGGATGGAACCATACCCGGAAGAAGCGATCATCATCCCAGGGCCAAGGTTCACAATACATTTTTGAAAAATTCAATCTTGTGTGCGATCACACAGTGCTCGAATTTGTGACCCTCTTGACGGCATCGACATATCAAGGACGAGGTTGGTTTGCAATTGAGCGTCGCTTGCATTCATCAGATGGGATTCCTGAGGCTTGCCATTGTGCGGTCACTTTTTGTCAGGTGATGGCATGGGAGAGGGATTGGCAGTTCTGAGGGCTCTTTCTCATGTCTTTTGCCAAGTAGTATTCCTTATATACTTAGTTGCCCTTGCCATCGTGTTGAGATGAATTGAACTTCTCAATCTTGTCGACTGTTCTTTTGCTTGTTCTAGAGTCTAGAGACGATGTCGCAATGTCAGGATTTGCTTGTGTCCACCACAGAAAGTAGGGTTGTGGCAACAAGAAACATTTGGATTCGCGGAGTTGGGATTCTTAAGTCGTTTGCATTGGTACTGCAACGAATCCCCTCAACAAAAACTCCTCAACCCTTGCGCAGTCTCTGACACCTACGAAGTGATGGCCTGAGTAAACCACCAATAACTTCTTCAATGATTCAATGACTGTCTCACCTGGATGCCTTCCTCAAATCATTCTTTGAGAGAACCCCAAATGTGTGGTTGGAATTCTTTGCTGCATGTTTTTGATCATGTTTGATCATGATCCACGGAATAATATCAAGACGACATGCTCAGTTTTTGTTTTTTTTTGATGTTTTTGGATATCCACAGACCTTTTCTAGCTCGCACTTAGGCACAGGTATTTTGAGCTCGGGTTTCTGTTTATATGTTGCTTAAAAGCAATGCTTGCTTTGCCTCCCAGATGAGCACGCCTCAGCAGTCTTGCTACATGTATCAATGTATTGTATCGTAGTGCGCCAAGGCCCCAGTCTTCCGTCGCTCGGAATGCAGTCAGGATCTGAGACTCTTTACACGTCTTTGTACTGAACCAAGGTTACAGGCTCTTTTGCAACCGATTGCCCTAGCTTTTGTCTACCCCCGGCTGGCCTCAAGTTATTCATACCAGTTTGCCAATTCGAACATTGTTACAGTAATTATGCTTTGCGCTTTTGTGCCTTTTTGAGCTTGACGAATCTTTTGCTTCGCTTGTTCCCAGGTGCACAACTTCAAGCGTCTCAGAACGTTGACTCTTGGGTCGAAAGGGAGCATCAGCCCAGTCGAAGGCTTCCAAATTCCTTGCTTTTTGTGTCAGGCGTTTGGTCCGGAGTAGCTGAGCATGTTGGTCTATGAGGATGCAAAGAACCCAGTAACATGTTGGTTTAGGAACCTGGAGGTATGGCTGTTCAGGTTGATCATTGATGAGAGTGAATCAGTCAGTGTGCAAAGCTCACGGAGGTGGTAATGCCATTCAGACATACTCATGGTACCTGGACCAGAGCCCTGATGCAGATCATTAGCACTGGGATGCGTATGAGCTGCAAATCTCAAACCTCTACCATCATATATGTCCATGATTTTCCAAGAAGTGCTTGAAGTGCTATGCACGAGACGTGGTGAAAGCAGCAGCAGCTTTCAAACATAGAATTGACTGCGGTGTACCCATTGCCTGCATTTCTTTGTAATCACACAAAAAAGCCCTGCCTCAACAAAGTACGTATACTCTAGTTGTTTGTTTGGTTGTGGGTTTTGATGTAGTGACCTCCCACCCTCTGTGGTGACTGGCAATGTCTCGAGTGTTGTATTCTAGGGTGCAATCTCAGGAAGAAAATCCGTCCGGGACCTGTTCCGCCCGGACTCCGAGCAGTGCAGTCTCAGCCCCTAGTAGCGTCCTTGCTCCTAGTTGTGGCCGTACAGCCCCAACATTGGTCAATCAGGTCAAAGGGTTTGTTGGGTCAAAGTTTGGATGCTTGGCCTCTAGCCCAACAATCAACCTCTGTGAACCTTTACGATATGTTTGGCATTCTATGAGCGTACATCTCCCCTTTTGTTGTGCTATTGTTATACAATCTTCTGTTTCTAGTAGCTTCTTGTTACTAGTAGTACGGCCAGGAGCCCCTAGTAGCGTCCTTGCTCCTAGTAGTAAGGCCAGGAGCCCCTAGTAGCAGCACTTAGCTCTGTACCAACGAAGTGTTCGTCCAAATAGTCGATGCAAATTGTGCAGGGCTGAGCGTGCATGGCTTCCTTGGACACCAGGTGAAGAGGCACCTTCACCACGACTGGGACAGTCAAGAACCGGAAGCAGACTTTGTTCTTTGCAGAAACTGGGTACAAACGATCCCAGCTGGCACCCGTCTTGGTTCAAGTGCTGTCCCAAGTTGGGGTAATATCAGCCAGCCCAGTTGTGCCCAATTGTCAGGCACGTGAGCCCACTCCCGAGGAGAATGGATGTGCTGGCTTCGCAGGGAATTGAGACCGTTTGACCGAAGACTAAGACTATGGACACAATCTTGCAGGAGGTTCATTTTGTTGTACTAAAAGTAGCGAACTAAATCGATTTCGGGCAATTAGACTAAGCTTTGCAACTGGACTAGTTGGACATAGTTGGACCATTCCCTTTGTCTTCCATGTTCCATCATCTTCCCAGGGAGTTCCAGGTCTTGGTATGAGCATTGCAATCTTGCTCTTCCATTGTTTGCAGGGATCCCTAAGATGCAATGTGGAGTCGCAAGAACATATCGACAATATGCAGATTTAACCTATCGGAGTGTGCTCAATCAAGGTGCAGTTTCCTGCAACTTTTAGGAGTTGGCGAGGGAAGAATACTTGGAGAGGATGCTCCAATGTGAAGAGGCCCAGCATCGCAAGTGCAAGCTGAATGTTGTGCTTGCATCGTTCGCATCGAGCTGGAGAAAAGGCATCTTGAAACATCGCACCTTACATTCGCTTTTGGTGCGTCGTTTAAATTAGAGATTGAGCTTCCTGGTCCGAACCCATTTTCTAGTCTACCAGCGAATGGCTTTGATGTTAAGCTTCTGATAGGTCCTTTCCCATATTGAAGTGTAGCCACACTCCAAGCACCAGCTGCAAGTGTTGCTTTCTTTGATTCATACGTCTCAAGCCAAACAAATCAGCTGGAGGAAACCAATGCACCAGAGCCTCCCTATTCCTAGCCGCTAGTCCTTTCGTTTTCGTAATATTTAAGCCCCATTGTCATTCAATATACTCAATCTTGCACGTCGCACAGGTCTCCTGCTCCCGGGAACTGCTAGAGGAGATGCAGGCCAAAGATTTGCCTCCAGCAGGGCCTCCAAGATTTGGGGAAGGAGGAACGGGACGCCGTGCTAAAGCGTAAACGCCACGTGCAACTTTGGGCCGTGCCGAGGCCTTGGAGAACTACCATGCTGCACTATTGGTGTGTGCCAACGCCTCGCCCTCAGATCCATCACTGAACGCACCCTCCGTAGGGTTCGATGGAACGAGTACCATGAGCAGTCATGAAAGGTCAGTAACTCTAACTGTTGGCTGTTTCTGGTTGCACAACATGAGGTATGAAGAAAGGCACATGAGCGCAAGAATCAGCTCATGCTCCCAAAATATAGATTGTGTCATATTGCGTCGAAGGTTTGGCTTCTGGAGCCGGGTGATTTTGCACTATGGCTTTGATCCTTACAGTACCGCTACAGCATGGCCACTGTATATAAGTTGATAATACCTGTGAAGCAGCAATCTAGTTTCACACCAAAGAATCGGATCTGAAGACTCTGTGCATTCGCCGTGCTTGAAATTTGATGATGCTGTTGTGGCAATGAGGTAGGGGATGCCCCTTTGTTGGGAGGTGACAACTGCGTGACCCTATGACGTTCCTGCTTCGAGAATGTATCACTTCTCTCGACTATGCTAAGGTCACTGCATGGCAAGAGGCCAAGGATTTCCTCCAGGAGTGCAAACACGCAACTCGCCATTTTGCCATGGCATTGCAAGTGGCGGTTGTGATCAGAGATGCATGGAACATGCATTATGTACGCATGCTGGAGAACTTGACACTAGGACTCTTAAAGCCATTTTGCCACAATGACCATAGAATTTTGCCGTATTCTATTAATTTAATCCTCTCCACCTATTAAACAACACGGGCCCCCCCCTCCCCCTAATTCTTTTAAAGTAGGGGTCCCTGAAATCGGGGTTTTCCAAAATAGGGTCAGTGGGAGGATTCTTTTCAATAATCATTGATGACATATGAAGTGCAGATTTCGTGCAGACACCTGGGAAAAGCTTGAAAACCAAACAGTCACCCAGGAAAATGTTATTTTAGATCCTTGATTAAACTCGTATCAAAAATTGAAAAAAAGCTCCAGATCGAAGGGTCTTCCTTTCCCTTGACAAAAACCCTTATTCTATACTAAAATGATTCTTCATCAGACTAACAACTAAAGCTTTTGAAAGGTGATGTCGCTGTGCCATGCCGTTTTGCGCGGCCTCAGTGACGGTGGCAAGTGCGTTTGCGTGAGTCCGTGCCATTGGGGGAAGGAAAGCCTGCTGGTGGGCAGAGGTGGGCAGTTGGGGTTGCTTTTGGAGCCTATAAACAGAACTACACTAAAAATCGACCATGGACCATGTTGGTAGTTTAGTAGCGGCTTGAAAGGGCGGTAGGCTTAAAAAGTATAAGCCGTGTTTAGACGGTGCTTTTTAATTGGTGAGTGTTTTTAATAGCTACTCAGGATTAATACTGGAATACTAGATCTTACATAGTAACACTCCCGGGAAACAACTCAGGGAGAGTGAGCAGAGTCAACCCCACCAAAGCTTGGGATTGAGCAGCAGTAGTATAGTAGTAGTAGTGGTGGTAGTAGTAGTAGTAGTAGGAGTAGTAGGAGTAGGAGTAGGAGTAGGACTAGTAGGAGTAGTAGTAGTAGTAGTAGTTGCAGTAGCAGTAGCAGTAGCAGTAGCAGTAGCAGTAGGAGTAGGAGTAGGAGTAGTAGTAGTAGTAGTCGTAGTGGTAGTGGTAGTGGTAGTGGCAGTGGCAGTGGTAGTGGTAGTGGTAGTTGGTAGTAGTGGTGGTGGTGGTGGTATTCCGACCCTCTAAACTCCCCTGGGCAGGAGGAAAACCTTTTTGACAACGCCTTTCAGTTCAGAGTTTCAGGCATCAAACAAAGCCTCAGCCTCAGCAGAGGTTAAACAATATTCTTAAAGGGGAGGAGTAGCTGAACAATAGAAAACAACATCAATGGACAAACCACCTCCTTTTTGGCGAAGAAGAAAACTATTCCCACCCACAAAACTATGGGAATAATTTCGGGGGACTGTTTAAATGAATCCCTGAAACTTTACCAACTAGGATTCGACATTATCATGATTCCAGTGCACGATTGCAATATATAAAACAACAACACAGATCATAGCCGTAGAATGCCGTAGATATATCTATTTTTCAGTTATTTTGCACTTTGTTGTCATTGTCACGATTGCTTCAACAGGATGTTTTTTAACAATCGGTGGATTGCCAACGGTTTCAGTGTAGGAGTCTTACAATAGCTCTTACAGTACCTGACTGAATTAGGGAAAACATTGCATGATATGTAAGCCCAAAGAACAAATTCCCTGTTCCTTTTTTTGCAGTGTAGTGCAACAAGAATGGTTGCACGACTACCCTGAACAGCGCCCTGGTTTGTGTGGTTCATGCCACGTTTCACCTCTTCCAATAGTTGTGTCAATGTGCAGTATTGTGCAGTTGATGACAGGAGATGACGCACGAACGCGTCCCACCCGATCACACTGCATACCATCTCGCAATGGACGCTGCTGGCAAAGGATCAGGACAGTCGCACGATGTTATATATGATCAAAAGTACACGTAGGTGGTACACGAGTGGCATCGTTCACTAAATACAGCTGATGAAATTCCTGAGATCCTCCTGCACAAGTTCTTGCCACGTTCTCTATAGTCTATGGAGTACCCTCAGGAGCTCCGATTGAGTTCACTGAACAGCTTTTCAACGAGGCACGATCTTATTCTGGCGGCTAGACTTGCTTCGAGAATCCCACAAACTTTGAGCCCCTGTCCTTGTGCAGATTATTTTACCAGCTGCAGATTCAAGCTGTATCAACTGTAAATTGAACCTTTTCTAGCTACACTCAACAAGCAGCAGTGCTGCTGCTGGTTGTTGCGATGGTGTCCTATTTTCAAATCCTACTTCCCACCCGTGCAAGATGCAATCTCGGGCAATGGTCCCCACTCCAGAGACCTACACAAAGGCAGGGCAGGGCCGGTTGGACACGGATGCTTTGCAGGGCTGTAGGCGTCAATAGAAGTGCAAACCTAGCCAAACTCTTTTTCTCACTCAACTTCAGCTTCATGCATCCAAGAACGGTGTGCAGTAAGTAGATGTAAAGACGAGAAAGAAGGCTGTGAAGGAGTGCCATTGATGATTCTTCAACCAATGAGTCAGTTAGTCCATGTTTTTCGGGCAACTTTCGTCAGTGTCCTACGGATCCTGTTCGCAGGTCATCCATGCCTACATCAGTCGGGGCAATGAGAAGTTTGCGCGGCGTTTTGTTCGTGAGGCTTGATACTGTACTCCGTGCTGGTGCACCAGGTGGTTCTTTGAGTTCTTTGCTCCAAACTCAACCGAAAGCCTCGATTACCCTGGCAAACTTAACAGCAGAAAGCCTTGGAACAATTCGTTAAGTTGGATGATTATGATGGAGATCTCTGCAAACCCTGCCTAACATTGGTCTGGCGAGGCAAAGCAATGCTTTTTGTTCAGGGCAGAAGTCGGATATGTCGGACATGTTTTCACATGTTTTCACGACTAGCCGCTGTAATACTCCCCCGGATTGTTGGATTAAAACTGCGTGTGAGCAGCTGTAGCCGGGCCGGTTGCCCCGATGCCTACCCCCATGCCTGGTAGCTTTGCTTGTAGCTATCCAGCTAAAACTATTGTGAACACACAAGTTATTTCAGACGCAGACGATTTGGGAGTTCTCAGTTGTTCATAGTTTGTTGGGTTTCTCGTTTGTGGCAGGCAATTCTTTTAACAGGGTGATGGTATCATTGTTTAGAAGATCAGGCATTGCACTCCACAAAGAAGCCGAGCGTATAAAGGGCAAAGGTTTGGGAAGATCGTTGATGTAGAATGTAGAACACAAGCACGGACTTTGCCATGTCCGGAGCAGCCGCTGTGAACCGCATGGTGAAGAGTAGCACATAGTAGCACTATATTCATAGCTCAGCAGTTACATTGTCCGAATATTGAAAAAGAACCAACATCCGAGTGCACAGAGAGGTTCTTGCATCAAGTTGCACGTTGTTGTTCGGGGTAGATGCTTGGTATTCTGGCCAGGCGTTCCAACGAGGATTGCTGCAGATTTGGACCAACGGCGGAGTATTTTTGCAGCTTTACGTCAGAGGCTCTGGAAAGATATTGCAACCGTTTCCAACCCTTGTAGTAGGATGTCATGTCATTCTCAGTAACAGAGGGCGAAGCACTGGCACATGCAACATTTATGCCGTCAATGTAATGAACTTTTCACTGAGGTTAGTTGTGGCTGGTGGTGTGAGTGAAACAAACACAATTAGTGCACCCATTGCACACCCTCTCATACCCTGTTCAGATGTGGCAGCGACATTGCAGGACACATAGGTTGAGTCACAGCGGGGCACTATATATAAAATTGCAAAACTCAGTAAAATTTGGAGTGCCGCGCCGAGGACTTCCCCACAGACGTGGCTCTGGCCAGGGCCCCTGCCAACTGTTCTGAACACACCGGACTGTGAAAGGAATCAAGTCTCTTTATGATCCATGTGGCTCCGCTAAACAGTGGGTCAAAGGAATTGAACACATTTTGAGGGCATAGAGAATTGGTCAGCCATGTTTCAAGGCAAGCTGCTGGTCAAGCCGAAAATTGTCCTAGTTTGTATTATTGCATCAGAAGACATTGGGCAAGACATGAGATCCGCAACTTCAACTAGTGATAACTATTCTCTTCAAGATTTTCAAAAGGTTTGCTAAACGCTAAAAGGGGCATTTACTAGATTAAGCAAGGATTTTGTGAGCCTGTGCAGCTGATGGAAAGTCATATCAAGGGTTGCCTTGCCTGGTCCGAACGAGCACCACAACTCGGCAGCCAATGGTTGGAGAAATGGCTTCGCAGGCACTTAGTTGCCAACTGAAAAAGCACATCGACTATATTCGACTATGACTATGCAGACGTGTTTTGAACGGACTCGGTTTTGCTTGTCAAGTAGACTTGATTGGTTTGCTGCAGTTTCCACGTCGATATCCAGACGCACATGATTAATGCTCGGTTGCTGGGTTTTGAAACTGAGTTCCTTTTGCGGCTCGCAATCATCGACCGCGCTAGAGAGCTGGTCCAGCGACCCAGTGGAAGGACACTGGATCCATGTGCCTTTAGCAAGAATAATGGACTCAATAGCTGCTAGAATGAACAAAGTATATTTGGAAGATTCAATTTGCTTGGCACTGGAAGAGCAGACGAACCCAGTTCAATGGTCCTGATATGTCCTGATGGGATGAGAATCACTTTGCAAAGTTCCGGGACATCTCGAGGTCGGCCGGAAAGCCGGGAAGAGGACCATACATGTCGGTTGCTCAGTCGCATGCGGCCATCTCGGACTCTGAGTCTGGAAGAAGGCACACTATGCTATTTGCTATCTATGCGTTATCGCCCGGATGGAAGAGTTGGATCTACTAGCTTCTTGTTTCTAGTAGTAAGGCCAGGAGCCCCTAGTAGCGTCCTTGCTCCTAGTAGCGATGCCAGGAGCCCCCAGTAGCGTCCTCTATATGCTTTGTGATCTTTGTGATTGCTCTGTTTAACTATTCCATCTCCCAAAAGAGAGCACCAGCACAACTGTCGCTCGCTTTTCAATCAGCCAGACACGTGTACACAGGGTACATGAGACCCCCAAGCTCCAAACCCAAGGTCTTGACCAGAGAGCCTGACATGCCGAGAAACACGCCGGGCATGGTCTGCGCCAGAGTGAGCTGTGACTTCTAGCTACTAGTACCAAGGTGCCTTACTACTAGTAACAAGCTACTAGTAGTAAGGTGTAGTAAGGCACCTTGCTACTAGTAGCTTCTTTTGTAACTGTGTTCCCAGCGGCTCTGAATGCTTGCCAAGGGCCTGAGCGAGTCTGCGGTGAAGCAGGTCCTGGAGGAGTTTGGCATTAAGGATCTGCCCAGGGGGCTGGTGCACGCGCTTCCTTTACGCACATTGCATGGGTTTGAATTTCTGAATATATGTGAAACATGTTGGAGGTGAGGAATCAATGTCGACATTGACCTTGCTATTTGAGAGGAGTCTACTACAGTCTTGCTTCCTTTGGCAAACCAACCATCGAGATCAGTAAGAGCTTGTTCCACATCATCGAACTGGCTGAAGCTAGTGCAAGGGATCCTTGATTGAAGTTCGTGGTGTGATGCCAAACCAGCTAGACATTCTTTAATACATACTGGTAGACCTAAAGGTGAAGCGCGGATCACATTTCAGCGTTGCACGCCCGGCAGATTTCACCGCGACAGTCATCTCAAAGTGCTCCAAAGCTGATGCAGTCATAACTAATGCGTTGTAGTAATATATTGTTTTCTCTATGTGTTTCAATCGCACCACAAAACGACCAGTAGAATTGCCAGGGTAAAGTGGAGCCTTCAGACTTCGGGCGCATCCGCATCCGCGGGGAAGAGTCGGAAGGCTCAGGCGGCGACAGTCTTTGGTTGTTCATTTCCGTCTTTGGGGGCGCAGCCATTTCCAGGACATGACCACTTCAGATATCATGCCAATCGTAGAACTGTTACCACCTGCCAAGTTGCAATTGTTCACCCTTTCATATCCGTTCACCCTTTCTCAGGCGTGGTCTGGACAATTCACAGAGTCATAGAAAGCAGACGATTGATGAAGATGTTCATTTCATTCTGAAGAATGACCCAACCATTCACGATGTCAGGCGCACACAGAACGATCCTTGTGCACCTTTCGATGGTCCCAACATGTACATGCCAGTATGAATTTGACACTCAGATGATCATGACAGTGATGCTGCTGCTGCTGCTGATGATGATGATGATGATGATGATGAAGAATAGGATGTGATGTCGCCAGCTTCGTGCGCAACATGTCTTGAAGTACTTGTTCACCACATGAATTCCTGAGTCCTGATCCCCAAGCAAACTAGGACTTGATTTGTATTTTGGACCCTTTCTTGTGAATAAAGACATGTTCTTTTGTAGACACCTTGTGCGACTGTTTGCTTCTATCAGGGTATGTTGCCACCATGATTCATGAACGGTAGGGGGCCGACCCCCCCCCGGCTTTGACATGCTCTGATCAGAACTAAGGCTAAGGCACCTCAAAATCCCCACCCAAAAGATGCTTTAAACTTGCCGTGTAGATATTGGCCACGATTTGGAATCGTGGGAATAGAGAGTTGGGAATTGGCGAAAGGTATAATATGAAAGGGATAGTCGATTTTTCCAAGGCATGGAGAAAGGTGAGCCAGTGAGCACTTTGATATCACGAAAGGTAGCGGTTACGCTACCTGAGTTTTCCTTTTGCTTTAGCAAAAATGTATTATATACCCAGAGTGGAGCCTTTCTCACTGAGAAATGGCCCCCGACATATTCGTTCGCTGGCCGGGGCCCCCCCCCCCCTTTCAACTCCACCCTGGCGCGCCTCGGGGTCAACGGCTCGAAAACACCGTAAATACCAGTGTTTTCAGCTCTTCCAGTCCTCAACAGTGGCCGAAAACCATGCAATTTACAGCATTTTTTGTGGCTGTCCGGCAAAAAACACCATAAAAACCGATGGTTTTTGATGCGTCTCGGTTTGAAAAATGACCGACAAATTACCAAAAGCCAGGAAAGATTTTGTCGGAAAGGGTTTTTGAGGCTGTTGGAGGCTTCAAAATTGCACAAAACTATGGTATTTACACTGTTTTGTGCACCTTCCCGGCAGAAAACGACGGTATTTACACGGTTTTCTGCGCTTTCCCAGCACACAACCGTGGTGCGCCTCTGGATCGACGGCTACAAAGCACCGTAAATACCAGTGTTTTCAGCTCCTCCTGTCTGAAAGCATGGCCTCAAACCATGCAATTTACAGGGTTTTATGTGTAGGCTTCAAAGTGGCCACAAACTTGGCTGATCCAAACGCACAAGTTCGTTTCTCCCATACAACCTTTCACGTAATATCAATGGTTTTAAGCTATGTAGGCGGTTTCTCTCCACACGCAGTGCTGCGGTACCTTTCGTTCACCCCCTTCCTCTTTCAAGTTGAAATTGATATGCTTATGGGTGGAGAAGCAGTGAATAAAGCTAAGCTAAGTGATGAACTAGATAAGGTCTTGGTCAAGGTTCCTTTGAGAACCGTGGTTCTGGGCGTTTTTTTCTATCGAGAACATCTGACAAGTAATTACGTAATACAACAAACCCTATCACTATTCATGGGTGGATATTATTTAGTGCATAGGCCCTGCATGGGGGGTACCCATTGTGAGATGTTTTGGACACCCACATGTAGCTTCATCATATAGAGATAAGGTTGAACTCCAATGGGATTTGATACAAATCCTTCTCAGGATCCAAAGATTTTCAATTCCATCAAGAACCCATCCGAAACCATGACAAAAAGTCAATAAGTAGAACACAAGCAAACACTATTAAACAAACATTGTTGCACGGAAGCATGATGGTAGTTTATTCATCAGTGCAAAGGGAGTTTTGGCAAAGCAATTGACTTTATTTCGGTGCTGTTTGTTGATCGTAGGTGGACATCAGTTGTTTGCTGTCGTGCCTTGGGTGATATCAAAGTGCATTCAGCTTGAAATCAGGGTGCTGTAGCTCGCCCTGAGAGAACGCAGCCAACCATTTGTCCACGCAATGGACTTCAGCATCTAAATCAGGAGCTTGTAGAGTTGTAGCTCGAAAGAAGGGTTCCAAAGCGCCCATTGCCACTTGTTGCGAGGTGTTGCTCTAGCATATTTGCTTATGCGAGCGGCATTATGTAGACAAGAGGATCCAAAGGTTTGCTAATTGATCGGATCTCTACAGCTCAAGAATGTCTTTCGTTTCGCCCTACATAAAGGGTTCAAAGTTGCTGTTAAGAGGTCTAATAGAGGTCCCGGCTGAGATTGGTTTCGCGAATGTGGAGCTATCTGCCGAGGCTCGAACGTTTTGGCTGCGAGCGGAAGGGATTGCAAATGAGGAAGACAGCCAAGACGAGAACAAAGGTGAGAAAGTGAGAACGAGTGGACGAACACGAAGCTGTTGCGGTCACATGTCACTGAGCCGGAGGGGTCAAAAGCAATTTCTGAGAACCCATTCTAGTTCACCACCATTGGATGATGTTTAGTGAAACTCATTATATATGTTATTTTATGTTAATCATGATCCCAGGCTCTCTTCAAATCAGATATTGGCAACTATTCTCCCTTTCAGATCATGAGAATCGCAGTCATGTTGAATTTTGAAGATGCTGACAGAGATCATGGATCTTGCGAATCACTGATCCCTCCTGCTCCGCTGGTGAGTATGTCAGCGATTACTTTGTTTGTGAGTGTTTTGATCCTGCTATCCAAGTTCCTGTGAGCTTTTTGCCTTCCAGGTGCGTGCTCGCTGAGAGAGGGAACCTGTCCCTCTCACCTTTGTGAGGAAAAAGCATTGCTTCTTGGTGCCACACTATGAAATCTTGATTTGGACCACATTGCAAAGCTATGCAAGAATTCACATTTTGGTTGGACAAAAGTAGAGTCGGTTCTTGCAGTTTGTGCAATCAAAGATGCGACAGTATAAAACACATGCAGAAGCATCCAGACTCCGAACACATCGGACAAATCACCAACAACTGGGAGCAAGGATGCGGCGACGGGGAATGATCCTAGACCCTAAGCTATGGGCACAGTATTTTTTTTTTAGCCTCTTTTCTGCGCCTCAGGTGGATCACGCTGGTTCTCTGACAAGACACCAGTGTCGTTTGAATCAGAGCAAGCCCGCCCTTTGCTTTTTGTTGGGTACACATGTTGCACAGCAATCCAATGCATGCGTCAAAGCTTGCAATTTTTTTCCTCGTTGTGGCTAAGTGGGCCTGCAGGGAAAGGCCAAGACTCTGAGCACACAGTCGAGGTCATAGTCAGTTGACCTGACAAGCAGCTCATGAGCTCAGCTCTACTTAGCCGACTTGCCTTTTTAATTTATGATTCCAAACCGCATCAAGTCGCTCAGGCTTTGCTGATCCAATACTGTATTTTGCTTGCTTCAGCTCCGAGAAGGAACACCATCTTCGAACAAGATCGTTCGTCAGTCTTTCGGACACATGTCTAGGAATGTCTAGGTCTAGGCCACGCACCTGCCAGCACTATTCCCTGCATGGAGCCTAGCTTCGGTTCCTTGTAGAGAGAGCAGGAGGCTTATCTTCAAGCTACCCCAATGCATGGTGTGGCTGGCAGATCTCGAATGCATTCGAATGCACCATAATTGAACTCTTTAGCGCAGCGAGGCGCCTCTGCTAGCTAGCAGCATTCGTTGTCTTTCCATCCAGCCAGTCGCTCACGCTTGGCTTTGCCTTCACACTCACACCCCAATAGTGGCTGAGTCACGCTGAGTCAGAAGGGCCCTGCTACGTCAACAATGGTATGCTGTACTCAACGAAGTTCAGATGCGTGGGCCAGTCAGACACCAGTGCTATCTATATAGTGTTTTTTATTGATAAGGTGTTTCTTCCTGCAGCCCGTTGTGAGAAGAATCATGTTTGCGCCGAGACTGCTCTGAGTCAGGTCTGCAGTTTCTTGCAGCTTAGCAGGGTCGACTTACTCAGCCTTCTGAGTCTCAAAAGTAAACGCACATACAAGACAGCGCTAGCGACATGGCGCAAGCTTTTAAGTCAATTAGTAGCTTGCACTTGACACTTCCACAAGCCGTAGCAGAACCTCAAATTCGATACACTTTGTATAAACCCATACTGTAAGACCCTAAGATGGTGCCTGTACGGCGGTGCCTGTGGTACAGTATACCTCCATTGAAAAATCAGCAGCGATGTTAGGGTCCAAAGCTACGCACTCACGCCAAGTGCCTTTGCACAATTTTCCATTGTGACCCTGCCCTTGCTCTTCGGCCATGGATGAAGCGCTTCACGCGACTTCTGATGCTGCTTCTCTCTTTGCTCCTTGGCACAGTTGCATACTGCAGCACATCATTTGCCAGAGAAATGCATATTTCTGTATATTATCAGAAAAATACTTAGTTTACATGCAGTGCACTGTGCAATTGCAAGGTTCAGCATTGCCGTGGTCGAGGCAATCCACGCTGCTCTTGGGGCTCCGATTTTTGGGCTTACATTACAATATAATTGCAATAATATATCCCCGGTACATCCCGGTACGCTACAAATGTAAGTATTTTTGCTCAGCAAAATGACCGAACCAACCAACCCTCATTTTATAACTCCCTTTTGGAAGATTGGTAGTTCCTGAAAAGGTAACAGGTATTGACAATCTATGATATCGCTTGAAACTTTTTGCCATCGGGAACAAAGCAAAGAAGTATGGACAAATTTGAATGCCCTTTTGCAGGCAATCTGACGCGATTGCCACTGCGTGCTGCTGTTACATGCTGGTACATGTTGTAAAACAGAAAATGTTAATTCCAAATCATTGGATTATTTGTATTAATCATTAATTATAAGGGAACGTCTTTACAAGATGTGAAACCTTTGTTGGCACTTGATCCAGAAAGGGTCATGATATCCCAATGTATCCACGCAAAACAGGCAGCCAATCCCCTGCAGGCAGAGCAGAAACAGAGAAGAAACAACTCCGTTGAGCACATCGTTTCATGTTGTTTTTGTTGATATTACAACGTATCGGTGCTTTGTTGGGACGTTTTGAAAGGTCGTTTTTGTCACCGATGATGCTGTTTGGTAAAGAGCTAAACAATGTGGTTCAACTTTGAAAGTGGTGTCCTCCGTAGCTTTTCGCAGGCTGCAGAGCAGGGCCATGCGCAAGGGCCCGGCAGAAGTTGGGAAGAGTCCTACCAGCTGGCAAACAAGAAGCTCAGCTTGGGGAATGATTTCACTTTACAACTTGACAGTTCTTCAACTTCTTCTTGTCTGCAGATGTTTACATGTATATTCATACTGGTACCCAGTCAGTGGGTAACCTTTAACCTTTTTTGATATTGGTATTCCCACACAAATCATACAGGTGGAAAAAGGATGAACTGAAACAGGTTCACCTATTGTGTTAAGCTATATTTTCCATGGAAACGGAGGGGGTCAGTATAATTACATATTATATCATGCACCAAACACTGCAAACATCACTCAAATACCACGCGTATATAATACAATACAATAGACAACAATATATCAGAGTGCTCCCCCTGTAGCAGTGCAAAACAAGATTTACATGTACTCAGTTAGCGAAAAGGAGCACCAGCAAATCCTGAGAGAGGGAAGGAGACAGAGAGACAGAGAGAAAGAGAGAGAGAGAGAGAGAGAAAAAAAAAGGAGAGAGAGGTTCCCAAGCCCACCCCCAGAAAGAGCACTGGAAAAAGACAATGACCGGAATGACTTGACGAAATCGAGCACCAGAACAGCACCATGACTGGACAAAATCGAGCACCAGGAAAAGCACAATGACTGGACGAACATATATTGTCAATATAGTGTAAATTAACACATATACTATTGTTAAAGAGTATTTGTAATACCAATACTAGTAGTAAGAAAAAAGACATAATATATACATATGTATATAATTGTATGGTTTTTCAGTGCAAAAGGCTCTCTGTATGGTCTGCGGACCTGCGTTGCTTTGATGCCCAGGACAATGGAGAAGTTAAACACGTGGCAACGCTCCAAGCTGGTCAAAGGAACAGGTTGGCAAGGATGGCAATTGAGCCGAGGGTTTTATGCCACTTGTTGGCATTTAATTGCAAAGCAGCAGATTTGGGCTAGCCTAGGGCGATGATGAGTCGCAACAGTGATTTGGAGCAACATGATGACAACATCATTGAACGGAAAGAACTTTGGGTGAGCAAGATGCCTTGAAGAAAGATGGATCCAAGTTCCATCAAGCGCTCATTGAACATGTGAACGTATTGGTGTGAACCCAGCATCCATTCATGTGGGGCTATCAGGTGGAATCTTGCGATTTGGAATTGTCTTTACACTCATATGACTTAGTATGTCTTAGTATAGTCATACTGTATATATATAAGATAAACACACATATATATATATATATTTGATCTATTCCAAGGTCGGGACCATCACTGGCAGTGCCACTGCAGAAATTCCGTGGCTCAAGATGCAAGAATCTTGACTGGATGGAGCAGGGATCTAGTCATTCAATTAGTTCTGCCCTCTTTAGTCCTCTGCCAAGCTTTTCTGGACCGAGCGGAATTTCTTGACTGCGCGGCTCAGGACAATGGTAATGGTTTCCGATCCATGCTGCCGGAGACTGTCGGGACCTCCGAGTGTAAGCTGTAAATTAAGTTGAACTTCTTCGGAGATATCAGCGGTTGATCTAGTACATTGAGGATCGTACGCTGAGAACTGAGAGCCGCTTTTCCTTTTTTGCATTTTCAACATGTTGGGATGTGGTGATCCAGAGTACATTCGTAAAGGATCCTCCACAGAGGCTCGATCAAAAGATCCGCACCGGAGTTGTTGCCTCTCAGGTCGGGACTGTGACCGCACCTTGGACAACTCAACTACTAGCTTCTTTGCTCCTAGTAGCGATGCCAGGAGCCCCTAGTAGCTCGTTACTAGTAGCCATGATTCTGTTGAACTTTTATAATTTGCGAAGACGTTTTCACATGAGGGTTCAGTCTGAAGGTTCGCAGAGACCTTAACAAGGTAGTATGTTGTGATTGCTACCTCATACGTTTTACAGAAGCTAAAGCGGCAAGATGCGGCAAGCCTCCACCTTTACAGCTCAGATCATATTTGTTTGACTTTGTTCCTTTCTACTTGTCGGGGAACCTCCAGCGTGCAGCTAATAAATATTGATGGCATTCTCACAGTCACATGATTCACAGGCTCCTGCCATTCTATCATGGCAAAATCTTTTTGGATCCAGCTTGTTTGAAATAAGGTATGGCCCAGTCCCTTAGCACTGGCTTCCACCTGGGATGAGGAGGTGCATACCAGCATTCAAAACCATGTACTATACCAAGTGTGTGAACTGTAGGGTGTGTAGTTGTGCCTTTGTGGAGGATTTCTGATCTGATAATATGACAATACGGTATACATGTATACATACACTTGACACATCTATTTGATTCATTGTGCGGTCAAACGCATGTTAAGCAACCCCGATGGAGTTCACATTGGCTTCCTGTCTTGGACAAGGCGGTTGCAGCGCAAGCAAGTGCCATCGGCAAAGAGTTCCGAGGTACAGCTGGATTCAGCAAACATTTTTGGAGTTCATCGTTGGGCACGCTTGATACCTGCAGAGCTTTACTGTAAGTCGTATGGACATGCTAGTTCGGCGCTCGGATTTGCCTTTGCAAAAGGTAGAACAGTCTATGCAGCTCAAAAGCAACAGACATGTTCGGAAAGCTTGGCCTTGCAAGATCCAGAGACTGGCCTTGAGGTTTAATCGCGTTTTTGCGATTTTGAGGGTAGAACATTGCTGACCATCCGTCCATCTGCATACTTGGGCTAGGAAAAGGATCTAGGCACCAAATGAATATTGCAAGGAAGCCCCCCCTGCCCTGAGGTAGTGTTTTTGATGAAGTCTGAGCTTTCCTGTGTCGCATCTACTACCCCCAGGTCTACCCACCTCCCCCGCGGGCCAAAAAACATGAACAACAAAACAGCTCACCGACCCAGTGCAAAGTTCCACCAGGCAAGAGCGCCAACGTCATGCTTGGCCCGGGCTTGAACGTGCACCGGACTGTGCTGACAGTATTGTATGATGCATTAACGCAGACATACGGCACCGTGTCTGAATAGTATTATAGTATTGGATGGCAACTTTGCATCCGTTGAACAGTTTTCAGAAGAAGATGAAGAAGGGTCGTGCCTCCGTGGTGTGGAACAGTTTCTTGGCCTGTTTGACAGTTGTTGCAAGGTTGGAGGGGTTACATCATCATCGGTCCGTGGAAGAGAAGAGCCTTAGGCTTTAGGTCCTTAGATGTGAAATGCTCAAAAAACGCTTGGTTGCTTAGTGCAGGATATCTCGAGGTGGCCGCAATTTCGAGTACTTGCCTGGTGAGGAATGCTTCAAAGGGAGTGGAGTCACTGCGGTTGCTTGTGATATATCTAAAACTATAAAACAGATGGGCATCACATCATTTTATTGTGCTTGCATACGTCATACGTCGACACATATTCACAATTGTCGCAATGGTTCAGATTTGTTTGAGATTTTCAAGAAGTTCAAGCAGCTCCTTTTGAGTGCAGGATCCCTAC